AGGGTTTAGGGTTTAGGGTACTGGAACTTGTTTCTTTTTCGGACCTTCGTTCTTCGTTCCGTGCCCGGCAAAGTTTCAAAATCGAGTCTCGCATCTGACAGTTGGAGTTGAGTCCTTTTCGCTCTGCATACGTTCTCTTCGAAAAGAGGAACATTGTATCATAGCATAGCACAACGGCAGGGCGATCAGATATAGCAACAGGCAAATGCTTTCACTCATAGTTACGCTCTTGATCCGATTTGCCTCGAAGTGGTGTCGGCGGGCGCACTGAATGGCACGTCGTCATCACCACGTGAAGTCAGTTTCCGCAGAAGTTAATACGCATGGTATGGAGCTACGGTTCGGGAGCTGGGGTGTTGTAAGAAAGATGGGGAGAATGTCTGGGTAGCCATCACATAACATGAACTTGTATGTAGTTTTCGGTCGAAAGCCAAGGCTAGCTAGATCCATTGATCGGTGTTGTTGCATGCGAACGGCTTCACGGTAAATTGACAATTGTGGGCAGCAGGTGGTGGTAATGAATATCTCAACTGGGACATGCGCACATTTCCAACAGCCGCGGCTCATTGTACAGAGCCATTCTGGCTTGAATGGGGCTTCAACACCACGCACAGCAGACTGCTGAACTATAACTGAGTAAAAAACATGTCAAACGGCGTCAAGCGGATGTTCGCACTGCTCGCAGACAGTGCATTCTCGGTTCGGCGCACAAGTGGCTCTGCTGTCAGCTCTGTGTTGTTGGTTGCATCCTCATACCGCGGCTTCCGACTAGTTTAAAAAACTCGCACACCCTTAAAGCATGATGTGCCTCCAATTCAAAAGATGCAACTTGCTTAAAATGAAAACCTTTCCGTATCTTTTTGCTACTATGAACAGTAGTGTGATCGCATCACACAAACCGGCGCATACTACATGCAAATTGCACGGCAAGTCGTGACTGCTCATGTGACTGATCCTTTCTGTCTTTTAAATATGTAGTTATACTTATATAGTTAAACATTTGTGTATGTATACACATATACATATANNTCTCTATATTTCAATCCTATATATTAGATTTCTCTATATTTCAATTGCTGTTTCCGTTGAGCGGGTTTCGGGGTTGCGGGTGGAGTGTGTGGGGCCGTGTCTCTCCGTCTTGGCTTGCATCACGTTGTGCATCAACGAATGTTTTGCAAAGTACGTGTGTGAGTGTGTGATTACAAGATTTCGCATCACGAGCCTAAGCAGGGCCTGAAAAAAAGTGGGCCAGGACCTTTCGATTTACAAGCAGGTTAAGTTCAAGCCCTTTCGGTCGAGTTTTTTTGCCGCGCCCCAGCACGACAGATCATCAGATCGGGATTTCAGGCATTTTGCCTTCGCTCGAAGAAGTTTTTTTCACTTCTTCCTCTTCGGTTGTGCCGCCTTTGCTTTGGGAATCTTGGCGGGCTTCTTCGGCTCATCATCCGCTGCCTTGCGCTTGCCAGCACGGCCAGGCTTCTCAGAGGCCTGTCAGCGGACAAACCCGAAAACCTTAGATCCTAACCCCCAATATATTAATTACACTAAACCCCTAAACCCTGAACCGCATAGTCGAAGTAAAAGGTCTGAGGCTTGCATGGGGCAAACCGAAACCGTAAACTCTAACTCCTAAACCGGAAGGCCGAACCGTGTAAGTAAGAGGCTTAAGGCTTAGGGTTTGCGGTTTTTGTTCCGCCTTCGTGCCCTGCTTGGACTCCGCTTTTGCGGATCCGCGAGCAGCCTGTCAGGGGCAGGGAATATTCACCATAGAGGTAAGGTTGGGGTTAACCGGAAATTAGATAGGCTATCCGGCTATCCCAAGTTGAGCTTGGCCAAATATTGGATACTGAATGGTCCTAAACCCGTTCGACACCAGGGCCTTCACCTCCGTAGCCAGCAAGCCCTCCCGAGACGTTGCCAAGAAATCCTGCAGGGGCATGGTTGTTTGTGATGTGGTTGCTGTTTGTAAGTATCGGTGCAAGTTTTTTTGGGGGGGCTTATGAGTCCGGATCGGGCTTTGTTCCGATGGGTTTGCTCGCCTTGATGGATGATGCGGGACGTGGCATAGACGGCAACGATGATGTTTTTGACAAGGCTTTGATCGGCTTGTCCTTCCAAAAATGGTCACATGCTACGGCTACATGTTATCAACGCTGTCGTAGTGGATTTGTTTTGGATTCGACTACTTGGGACCTGGGCTACCCTGCCAGAACAAAAAAATTGCTGGTCCTGGGCAGCAGCAGTTTTTCCTTCAAGAACCTGATGACGTACTTCGGCCAAAACCTTCTCGGCCTCACTCAATGGTGTGCCCTTGTCGTGATGGTTCTCAACTGCATCGAACTCTGCTTGGACGCCCGCTGCCTCTGCCAGCTTCGACAAGTCGCTCTTGCCTGCACCGGTACGAAGCACATACTCACGTCGTTCCAGTACAGGGGTCGCTGGCGGAGAGTTGGGCGCCAAATCCTTGGCTGAACGACCCAGTGCTGTAGGCAACCAAATCAGGAAGCATGAAAGCTCGGACAACCACGAAATCGGCGAGCCCCCCAATGGCCTGCGCCGCATGATATACACAACTATAGTGCTTCTATTTCGTCACGGCTAAAAAAAAAGCATCCAAAAAAAAACGCACATGAAATACCCTGAGCCCCGGATGCAAAGGCACCACTTGAACCACAATCCAAATGCAACCCACTATTACACACCTCACGACATTATCATCATATGAGGCACTGGTCTTCAACTGGCTTGTCGGATGCGTCATTCATTGCGACCCAGAGAGGGAACTTTGCATGCGAGCGAGCTCGATTCACCTCCCACTCCAAATCGGTGCCGTGCTGATTGAACCATGACGGCGAAGTCCTTGGGCAAGTTGCCGTAGTCGAGCTGTACCTCAGGAGCGATTGTTTCGCCCGTGCCCTCATCAGCTTGCACCTGTTTGGCGGTAGCATCACGGGGCTCACTACCGTCGCGAAGCTTGCCGCCCGGGCCCTCATCAGCTTGCACTTGTTTGGCGGGAGCATCACCGGTAGCAGTATTACCATCACGAAGCTTGCTGTCCGTGCCCTCATCAGCCTGCACCTGTTTGGTGGCAGCTTCACCGGTGGCATCATCGCCGGTAGCATCACTGGCGGCAGCAGCAATGCCTCTGGGGTCCTTGCGAAGCCACCGCACGAAGTCCTCCACATCAGCCAAAGCATCGCCCTCCATGTCGCCGAACCTGGTTGAGCTTCGCATCTTTGGAGGCTATCTCGGGCTTAGGTGCGTTACTCACAACAGAGAGAAATTGACCTAAGCCTTTTTTTGGGTTGCAAAGTAGGCCCTGCTAGCTGCTGCCTACTTCGCCGGGCGATGCAACATACGAGCAAAACATGTGCAGCCATGCCACTGCCAATCTTCATCAACATCGACGGCGAATGATTTCAAATAATCGTTGAACAGTGCATGCGACTTTGCACGGTCCACCTCCCGCGACAAGTCTGCTCCATCTGAGCTGAAGAACTCTGCGAAATTGATTGTGCTGTCGGAGTGGTCTAGGATAAGGGCCGGGGCATTGGGGACGGTCGCATCGGGGACTGTCGCATCGGGGACTGTCGCAGGCACTACATTCACATCACGGGGGACGGCGGGGCTTGGCGGAGCCCGCTCCTCCTTGATGTCACTTCGTGACTCGAGCAGCTTGAGAAGGGCCCATCCTGCATCGAAATGACGCTGTATGCTGTCGCTCTTTTGACTGACACCAACGCCGCCCAAAAGCTTGGCAATGTCGTACTCTTTCTGAGTCTGCTTCAAACTTGCCGGTGTCAATGTTTGCTTTGGCAATGATGTGAATGCCTGGGTTTGCAGACAGACAGAGGACCAGACCGACGGATAACCACAAAAAGCAACACGTCACCTACACAGACACACACTCACACACCTAGGGCTTAGGGCTAAGGGTTTAG